GGAATTGGCTTACTAGACCCTACAACAAACGAAATAGTCGACTGTTTGACTAAATATCAGATAAATATCTATCGTAAGAGAATACCTGAATGAATGTACARTTATTCCAGTGACAGAAGGATCGTTTCTGTACAAAGCACGGATCTAAAAAGAAGTATTCAATTAATAATGACATTTTCTGTCGACCAATCAGAGTTCGCCTAAGAATCTATCCAATCAGAACACCACCTCAAATCAAACGATTTRCATTTGTTAGGCGTTTCTCATACTGAAAAGTTTACATTTCAAGGAACTGAATTCCCTTGCTGGWCCAGTAGATCTCATTAGCATTTAATTGACCAATCAGAGCGCACTTTATATAACATATATATTCTTCGTTTTCAAGTTACGTCACAGCGGCCATCTTGGCTGAACTTCAACAAAGGATTTCTCACTAGTATCTATTGCTCATTCAACCAACATGGCTGCCGGTCTTTTATCTTTTGAATCTTACGAGAATGGTTGAAAACGATCAATATGAGACTCTGATCAACACTCTGATACTCCAGTTTCGAATTCATAGCGAATAACCGCTGCTTTATTTGACAACAGATTCTCTTGCGCAAAGACTTTACAAACACAAAAGAGAGCACGAGAAAATGTCGTTATTACAATAGACTTGAAAATTTGCATTTTCCCCGAGTTGAGATTATCCCTGTATTCCCATAAGACCTAAGGTATGAGCAGGGYTAGCCTCAACTCGGGGAAAATGTAGATTYYTAGCGCTCTATTGTATTAACAACATTTTCTCATGCTTTCTTTTGTCTTTGGTAAGTTCTTTGCGTAACAGAATCTGCTGTCAAGTAAAACAKSGGTTATTCGCTTTGAATTCGAAACTGGAGTATTGTATGCGTATTATAAAACACTTACGTTGGCCCACATCTTTTCTTTCAACGCTCGACTTGCTTGACTTTGTAGGTTTTCTAGGTCATCATTCCATGYTTCTTTGGTAAATCTTGCCACAACTGACACCTCCGCAGCTAAATAAAATTGCTAGACTCAATAATCACGTTTTCGGGCATAAGACCATCTAGCATATCATTGAAAGTTATACAGTATCAATGAATACATAAATTCTAGCTAGGATGAAGCAAAAACSTTTATACTATCATTACCTGGGCATGGATTTGGGTTACATATTCTTGACTTATTACTTGGACCAACACAATCTTCCCCACCGTACTGGGCTGGKGGATTAGTGCATGTTCTTACTTTAAACTCGTCCCCAGTACCACACGGTTTATTACAGTAGGACCAGTCGGACCAGTCTGTCCAGTTTCCATTAACTTGATCAAAAGATCAAAAGAATTTCATAATTTTGTAAAGAATTACAAGTTAAAAGGTTGATACTCCCCTTGATGTCAGCTAGTGTAAACAAGCCTGTTTAGTCTCGAATTTGAAAATTTTTTTCATTCATAAATATACTGGTTTTTGTAACTTTATGAAGCATTACTTCAGATTTTTGACACTGATATTATATTCATCAGTGTTCTTTCTTCCTAAACATGGATCATTTGGCAAACGTAGAATACTTACTGGGACAGTGTCGTGTGTTACAGCTCCGCATCTCAGTMAATCTTCCAGTGCAGTTYGATCCTCCATTCGCTGGCCATGGATTAGTACAAGTACGCATGCGCTTTTGAATACCGCTGCCACATGTTACTGTACATGTTGACCATTGAGACCAWGATGTGARCCCTCCGTCTACTCGGTGTGCTAAMGTGGAAGACGAACATRTATTACATTGATAGGGTGCAWAAAATCATTSGCAAGCCTGTACTTTTTGTTAAGAATACTTCTTGCTCTTACTTGGGCATGATTGKGTGTTGCARTTCTGGGTTTCTCTATAAAGACCGGTACAATTCACTCCTCCATTTTKTGGCTTTGGATTCGTGCAAGTACGTTTGCGCTGTTGAGTTCCATTACCGCATGTCAGGGTACAGGTAGACCAGCTGCTCCATGCTGTGAAGTTACCATCTAATTCTATTCATATAGAAACTACAGGTAATAAGATTTTTTACTTTAAATAATTAGTGTTCAAGTGCATTATATTACATTTTTGACACAGTTCATTTAATTTTGTTCACTTTGGTTTAAGTCCAAAGATTGACATTTCTTAGAAAGTTGTCATAAGTATTTCGACATTTATTCTAAGTATTTTGACAGTTATTCTTCCTGATCTTACGTGGGCATGRTATCGTATTGCAGTTTTGCCTTTCCGTATAACGACCAGTACAATTTCTTCCACCATTGGTTGGAGTTGGATTGCTGCAATTGCGCGTGCGCTGTTGTGTTCCGTTACCGCATGTCAAGGTACACAAAGACCAGTTGCCCCAAGAAGAAAAGCCTCCATTGATTGGGATTGCTAGTRATATAGAAAACATCTTTTAAGAAAGTTGGGGTTACTTTGTTTAAAAAACAAGAGATGGCAAGCGATTATGAGCATCATGAAAAAGCCAAGCAGAAGCGAAAAAATACGTAGCAAGAGAAGAAGAAGATGACGACGAAGAAGAAGAAGAACAACAACAACAACAACAATACAAGAACTTAGAAAAGAAAATGTAGACAAAGAAGCGAAAAATCATCTTACCACATATTGTCATTAAACAAATTCTGACTTGACTTGCGTCACCGWTACATGTTCCACCATGTTGGGGAGGSGGGTTAGTACAATTTCGCGTGCGCACTTGAGTTCCATTTCCACAGGTGGCTGAACATCTTGACCAGTTTCCCCAAGTTGTGTAACTACCATTAACTTGTTGAWTARGACAGATAYATAGGGAAGGTMATTAGTACTTTGTCAATATAAAAAKAGAAATWGCAAATGYAACGTTGATMACATCAATAATAGCATGATAATCAGCGATATATTCTTAATGACAACAAAGAATTATCCATTGACAATTGCAGYAGAAACCCATGACTGCATCGTAAATTCGAGAGAAATCGTTGGGGGTATGAATGTTGCTTTTCCTATGAATTAAATCTGGTACTTACTACAAATCAACTAATGACTGAACAAGTTTACGAAAAGYTCAAAAATCGAAACGAAATTCCAAACAAAGAATTAGCGATCCAACGATTTTCGATGTAAAACACGAGTTGTTAAGTCGAACGAATTACGAGCACTATAATCTATTACACGACACCGAGTAGCCTAATTGCCATCATTAGTACTCAATGTTTCCCATTGCTAACTATTTTACCATTTAGTTACGAAAGTAACCTTTCTTCGATAGCAACAGACATACCAGGACACTCTCTTAGTTTGCACTCTAATTTCTGGGTACCAGGTCCCTCGCAGTTCCTTCCACCGTGAGCAGGAGATGGCCTGTTACATTGACGCTGCCTTGTCTTGGTTCCATTGCCACAGGGTTGTGAACATAGACTACTACTCCATGGTCCCCACCCACCATTAACTGCAAGTATAGCAAAAGGAAAAGTGAGAAGTCCCTGGTTGGAGACGATACTGGAAGACCTAGAATGTGGTCTGATGATGCATTCGAATTTTTGAACCAATCAAAACAGTAAAGACTCATTCGTTTTCAACCAGAGCCTTTSATTATCCATTTGAAAATAGAAAAGGTTGAATCTGTCCTGGGAACGAGAATGATCGCAATGTGTTAAAGTATGGACAATGATAATATATTCTGTCTCGCCATCTCTCCAATCAGCGTCATAATCACAGACAGCACAATTCTACAATGGCGATTGGTAAATAAGCTAGAAGWATGGAAATACATTAACAGTGGTCATTCTTCTGTGCRGTAAAATCAWGGCCTCGATCAGCAATAACATCAATAATCGTTACAAAAGTGCAAAAGAGATAGTCTCACCTGGACAACGTCGAATATTACAGCTTTTTGATATATSAAACGTTTTAGAAGAACTAACATTACTACCATCGACAAACGACGAATAATAAAACGTGCAGTACTTTTTCTTGTTTTTTCGACCCTCTCCACAAGTTTTACTACATGAGCTCCAGTTTCCATATCTAATGACCATGGTCGACGTATTGCACGACTTGATCTCTTTWATRCAACCGTAGCATTTCTTTCCACTTATGGGATCAGTACAGTCAGTTTTTCTTGACGCACGCGCTTTCTCGCACTTATTATTAACTATAGCACATGCCGTCCAGTTGCGAAGAACGAAGCACTTTGAATTGTTACACTGTTTGAATTCAATGTCGTTAGAAGTGTTGTTGCTTATAGCATAATTTGATGAACGTGTTCTGTTTTGAACTCCTGGGCCACAGAACGTGCTGCACGGTCCCCAGTTTGACCATTCTGCGGGCTTGGTAATATTACATGATGTGGTCTCGTGGAATGGACCAATGCAGTCTTTACCACCATTGAGCGGAGCTGGATTAGTACAATTGCGCGAACGGTATTTTTCCCCAATTCCACGAGATTCAGTGCAATTAGACCAATGGGACCATGTGCTAAAGTTGCCATGTGCTGGAATGAGAATAAAGTAGATTAGAGTTCTCAATAGTCCGTAAAGAAACACGCAACCATGGATTTGTTAATCGCGGATTTTCAGACTGAGATCTCTAGCGCCATCTTTGGCTTGCACAATTCACTGGAAAAAATCGTTCTCTTTAAAGGGTTGTGAATTTGATGTAAATATTATGTAAGTGTCCAAAATGATGTAAATTTGATGCTTAAATTTGATGTACATCATTTTGGACACTTACATAATATTTACATCAAATTTACAACCTTTAAAGCGCGCGATTTTCCTCAGTGATTTTGTGCTTATTACGTTCATAAATACATTTACCTATGACAATGAAGAAGTCCGAGCTTCCCGATTGTCCGCCTCCTGTCCAATTTTGACAAAGATAAGAGTGTTCTGCCTGTTGGATGTCGTTATTATCTGGTCCTTTGTGGCATTGATACTTTGATTGGAGGACTGCGAAGGACGACCACCTAAGAAAGGTAAAATTTAAGGAAATACAGCAAGACTAACAGAAT